CGCCAGGAACGAATTCCTGATATTCCTGCTGGATGACCAGGAGGCAGAGAGTAAGGCATCCTGTCACACTCTTGGTCCATTTTGCTATCTCTTTTCTCATCCGAAGAGGCTTTGGGGAGGAGTAGGGGTGAACAGAGAGACCAGGCTTCCGTCTTGAAACAGGAGCTCAACTGGAGATTCCAAAAGAGAATGTGGATCCTGAGAGAGGGCAAATTAGGAAGATACAAGTGCCGACCATGGTATAAGAAACAGTCCTGAAGAGGAAGAAGAGAGGGGCAGCTAAGAAAGCTCCAAGGTCACAGGGGCAGGACAACACCAATGTGCACCCTGGCCTGGAGGTGGCCCAAGTCCCATGACCTGGGGGCCAGGGAAGCAGAGCAACCTCCAGGGCAGCCAGACTCTGAAGGCAGAGGGGAGGCTTCAGCACACCGGCTAACTCCTACTCACACTGCAGGCCGTGGCCTTGGTGTCTTCTTGTCCAGGGGCCCTCCCTGACTCGAAGCCAGCCACTGTCCCCTGCACTATCCTTCTCACTGCACCACATCTCACACAGCAATGCACTTGCCCATTGCCTTGTCTCTCCCCTCCAGACCTTAAGTTCTGTAGCCTCTGGGACTGTGTTCACTCTCTGGCACAGGACCTGGCACACAGTCAGTGCTAATAAAATGAGGGGGACACGTAGCTTAAAAGCCATAGAAGGACTGGAGTCCTTGCAAAGTGGATGCCTCCCAAACTCAGATAAGCTGTGTCCAACCATGTAAGAGGAATTTTCTGCTAAAATCTCAGAGCAACTGTTTGTTTACATTCGGAGGTTGCAGAGGAGGGGCTGGGGTCATTGGACCAAAGTTGAAGAAGGTGGGTCCTAGAAGTGCCGCTCATCAGCTTGGTGTTCATGACCAATGACACGGTGGGAAAGATGATTTATCAGATGGTGCGTTAGTGTCACTCTCCAGAGGGGCATCTGGAAGTGTCCTGGGAAGAAAGCCAGTGAGAGTTAAGCCTTCGAAGTGTTTGCGTAATGGGCGACACCCACCATCTGTAAACAGGACTCATTCTGAAGAGTGACCCAGAAAAGGGTGACTATAAACATTCTGGTATAAGTCTCACAGCGGATATAAGCCCTTAATCCTTTTGAACAAATACCCAGGGGTAGAATTTCAGGGTCATAGGAC